AAATTTTTAAAGTTTACTACCAAAGGAACATTCCTGTAAAGTTTGGATGAAATTGGCCAAGTGGTTTATGAGGAGATGTCGTTTAAAGTAAAAGTTTATGGATGGACGGACGCCAGACGAAAAGCGATCACAAAAGCACACCATGTCACTTTGTGACAGGTGAGCTAAAAAATTGGAGCTGGAAGAAAAACTGCATTTGTACACATTTTAGCCTGTCCTTGTATTTTTGATATGACAGAAAAAGCTGAACATTTTAAGAAAGATTTATTTAGATTTACCTTGAATGCTAGCATATTTTCCAAAATTAGCAAATTTCATGATAACTTTTTTTCCCAAATTGGAAAATTTTACGACACAAATTTCCCAAATTTGCTATGTGGCGTTATCCCAAAATAGAGGAAAAAGGGCCTGTCTTGACCGTTTGATAAAAAGTGCAGGACTTTTTGGCTTGTTTGGTTTACTTTATTCAGCAATGTTTGCATATGACAGTAACATTATAAATTTGAGATTTTTATAACAATTTGATGCCTGACTGATAAAGAGGTAAAACAATAAAAGAGCAGATAAACGCTTAAACCTTTGCATGCTTTTCACACATTCTGCACTTGTAGGTGTCCTAATTACAATTGTTTATTGTATTTGACTGTCACAAAGAACAAGCGTTATAGCGAATATGGCACGTTATAAATCTACATGGAAAAAAAATAAATCTTGTAAACCGGTCTCTACAATATAAGCTGCTGAATGTTCGATTTCTCGGATCTTAGAACAACTTTTGCAAGCAACATAGATTTTCCAATTTAAAGCAAGATGATTCCATAATACAAATTCAGCAGAGAAGAGAATAAATATTTTTCTTTATCAAACATTTGCTAGACAATATCATTTATGATAGTAACATTATTCTTACAATCTATCTCTTGAAACTTCAGCTTCTGCACCATAGTCACTATAAGCTGGTACAGAGGTTTGAGCATCATTTTCCAATTGCTCCAGGTTGCCTGCTGCACCTTCTGTACTCTCATACATGTGAACTAACGACTTGAGCTGAGACAGTCTGTCCTTTACTTCATTCAACTTTCTATTTGCAAAATAAATAAATAAATAAATAACAAAAGCTGTCACAGAAAGTGACAAATGCCCCCGAAGGATTCTAGTTATAAACCACCTATAACATGTTTAGTGCGGTGGTAAATATTGACAAAGTTCGAACCCAAGCAGTTAGACAAAGAAACCTGGGTCTTATTCACAACACATTGTCCATCTATGGTGACTTTATATTTTTAAATAAAAATTGAAACTTTCATGTATATGGAAGTTACAGTGCGGACACAACAACCACCATTTATATGTATATAACATAAATATTGAAAAAGTTTAAAACTCAGCAGTGACCCTGAACTAAGGCGTAGGAACATGGGTCTTAAGGGCAACACATCAAATATTTATGATAATTTCATATGTGAAATAAAAAATATAATCCTTCTATATTTATATAACATAAAAAATGACAAAGTTTGAACGCCAACAGTGACCTTGACCTTAGTCGTAGAAACCAGAGTCTTGTTCGCCACACACCATACATCTATGGTTATTTCATATATGAAAGAAAAATTACAATCCTTCCATGCATACCAAAGTTTTAGAGCAGACACCACCTTCTATATTTATATAACATAAAAAATGACAAAGTTTGAACCCCTACAGTGACCTTGACCTTAGTTGTAGGAACCCGAGTCTTGTTCGCGAAACACCATACATCTATGGTTATTTCATATATGAAAGAAAAATTAAAATCCTTCCATGCATACTGAAGTTTCAGAGTTGACACGACCACCACTGTCTATATGTATAAAGCAGGACGGACTGACGGACGGTTCGATTTTAATATGCCACCTTTCGGGGGCATAAAAATAGATTATAACTTAAATAACACAAAAGCATTTTACGTAAAAATCAATAACTCTGTAAAAACTCAAAAAAAATTCAAATTAGGCATTTTTCTTTCAATATTCAAAGTACCCTACATAATTCTGACTGTATTGTTCAATTTATTTTTCATTCTCCTTTCCTAAAATGAAATGAGTTCTTTTTTATAACAAGGAACAATAAATATTTGTAACAATAATCTAACACAAAATATTTGTAACAAATACCTAACAGAAACTTAATAAAAGACATATAAACATACTGCATTTTCTGCCTTGCATCTATCATTTCCAGGACACCATTAGCAAGATTGTCTGTACCCTCGGACGAGGCTGCCACAGGATCCATCTCAGATGAAGGTGGAATCAGGGCTGTTCTCATACCTGCTTCTGATGAAGCTGTGAATGAGAGGTCCATAATATCTAGCACAATTTCTATATCAGACTAAAACTACAACAATTTTCCTAAAAGACATAATACACAATAGCACCACATAGGCATGGCAATATACACCCGAATACAAATTTGTTTGAAGCACAGAGTGATTATTTACCTCCATTCAAGTGTCACAGAATATGTAAACTGACTGAAAATAACAATAATGTTGGTTTCTAAATGATAATCAAAGTGCTGCAGCACTGAATGCGACGGACATGCAACTGGGGAGACATTTTGGGTTTTTTTAGAAAAAAAAATAAAACACAAAATATATAACAGAGAAAATTTGTTCCATACAAGGTGCAATATATTTTGTGTCCCAATCTGATATAATCCAGATTTTCTACTTTCAAGCAGAATGAAATATATGCCTAAAACCCTGGTCAAACTTGTAAATCAGTGTCATTATCGATTTATTCCAAGAAATGATATGTAAATGGAAAAAAAACTTTCAACGACATATTTCTAAAATAAAACCATGCAAATAGACTTCAAGCATAATACATTATACCACGGATAAATCCGTGATTATACATGTGAGAATGTTATTTAGAATTGCTTCGTGTTTTAACATAGTGGGCATATAGACAATAAAATATAAGTCATTTGTATTTTTATTTTTCTTTTGGATATGTACGTCTCATTAAAAATATTTTTTGGTTAAAATCATCAGCAATTAATAGTCACCGTATTTTTTTAGATTTTTTTTATTTGCAAGGGCCAGAGCACATCGTTTTTATTTTAATCTAAATGTCACATTTTTTTAAAAAGCACTATAGTGTTTAGTTGTCCTTTTCATTTTCACATTAAATTACATTTTCAACTTGTTTGCTTCTTACAATTGTATAGAATATCTAAAAGTATTGCATGTGAACAAAGTAAGTATCCGCTGGTTTATAACATGTATAATGTGTACTCCCTACTGTCCGAAAATCAGCACAGGTAAAGCAGAATCTATTTTTAGAATAGCGAAGGTTAACTCATATCGTGACCTAGAAAATGTATCTAATTTATTAATAACTGCTGAATATTCAGCTAAACCCGCGGTATGAGTCACGAAAATAGTTCTTCTTTTATTAATGCGCGAGTTATTCTAGAGTCCAAAAAACTTTTGATTTGTTAATAATAATGTTTTGTATAATGTAGAAATATTTATTTCCTACTAATAATTTCTTGGAACTCAGAGCTTACACCTTTATTATAGTATAATTTGCTGTCCTACTTTTTTCGACAGCGGTAAATCGTTTCGGCAGTAATTTGCATAATTGCGCAATAATACTACGGGACTACAACGTTTTTATCAATCATATACGTCCATATTTTAAACTTGGATAACTTAATTTGAAATTGAAAAGGCTAATTATGGAAGATTTTAAGATATCCCGACATAGTATGGGAGTTTTAAAGGATCAAATTCATGTACTTTTTCTTGGGCTGTTAATCGGTTGAGGACACTTTGCGCGAGTGTAGCAGACGAAATCCCATGTAGATGACTTAGCTCTGAACGCGCCTGAGGGCGCGTCCGTCGCAAAAATTCAAAGAATTCATACCAAAAATCAACAGCAGACAGTGTTATTCCTAAAAATAATCAACAAGAAATATGTCCATAGGACACGGGTGCCCCAACACTCCACTGTTTTGTCAATCTACTGGGTCAAGGTCAAATATTTTTTGGGCTACACGGACACAAGTTGAAAACTGGAAAGCTTTAACTAAGTCAAAGGCAATTACTCTAAAAATACTGAATAAATCCACAAGCAGAACCCAAGGTGCTTAACTACACATGCTTACCAACTTTCAGAACTATAGGTCAAATACTTTTTGAGCTATGCATGAACAAGTTGAAAATTGAAAATTTATACTAAGTCAAGGGCAATAACTTTAACAAATCTAAAAACAAATCCACATGCAAAAAATCCTAGGTACACAGCTTCACAGTGATATTGATCATCATTCCTGTAAAAATGGTTGATTCTAACTAAAGCACTCAAGGTACACATAACACAACATTCTGGAATGGTTCTTACAAATTCAAGGCAATACAAATACTGAATAAATCCACAATCAAATTGCCAGGTGCACACTTACACATGCTGATCAATATTCCTGTAAAGTTTCATGACTATAGGTCATATATTTTTTGAGCTACGTGCCTTACAAGTTGAAAATTGCAAAAAAGTCAAGGGTAATAACTCTACAAGTACTAAATAAATTCACAAGCAAACACACAGGTGCAAAAACTACACATGCTGACCAATATTCCTGTAAAGTTTCATGACTAGCTAAAATACTTTTTAAGCTACATGCGATACAACATGAGAATGGATGGACAAAAGAATGGACAAGGGTAAATTTAAATGTATGGGCACAAAAATCAAAATGCTATGCTTAGAAATATTTTTTTTTCTTTTTTATATTTCCCATTACATTTATCTCAAATATCCATCTTTGTTGATTATTTGTACAAAACTGATAATTCTACTTTTACAATGTGTTGATATATGCTAAATATCTAAGCTCTGCATGTTGTAGGTTGGAAGAAAAGACTTTTAAGACATGTAAACTATATAAATCTGTGTACATGTAAATTGTGCAAGACCTACCCATCCCTCCACCAACCCTCGGGGCACAGGCATATTTTAATATCAGTGAAATAAACAAATGCATGGTTCTTCTCTGTAATGATACATGCCAAATAACTGAGACATTGTAGCTTTACAAAAGAATACATAAATGAAAATAATTCCATCTATGTGACCCCTTGGATAGGGCCAATATTGACCGCAGGAGCATGATTTATATCAATTTTCTGCCAAGTAGTTTCAATTTCCTTCCAATGGTTCAAAGATACAGACTGGACATGAAAACTCCTATGTAAGTCTATGTAAATCAATTAATACTCGGGGCAGGGCCAATTTTGATCTTAGGAAGCGCAAACTGATGTTATGCACACCGTCTCAATATAAGTAATATTTCAGCCAAAAAGTCTTAATTTCTTTCTATTGGTTCAAAAGATACAGAGCAGACACAAAACTAAGTGTGACCTTAAGCTAAGAAACGTCAAACCTGCGCTCTGCACATTGTCTCATTATGGTCAACATTTTTGCCAAGTAGTTTTAGTTTTCTTCCACTGGTTCAAAAGATACAAACTGGACAAAAAACCTGCTAAGGGAAGGACGGACAACCAGATGCATAACAATATACACCAAAATCATTATGGGTGTATAACAAAGAAGCTGTGTAAACTAGAAATGTGTCCATAGGACACGGGTGCCCCCACCGCGCCACTGTTCTGTCAATCTTTTTACTAAGTCAAGGGAATTAACTCTACAAATACTGGATAAATCCACAAGCAAAACCCCAGGTGCAAATCTAAAATATGCTGAGCAACCTGCCTATAAGGTTTAATGACTATGTCAATCCTTTTTGAGAAACTTGCGACACAAGTTGAAAATTGCAAAAATTTTCTAAGTGAAGTGCAATAACTCTACAAATACTAAAAATATCCAGACGAAAATACCTGGTGCACAACTGCACATGCTAATCAATATTCCTGTAAAGTTACATGACTCTAGGTCAAATACTTTTTGAGTTACATGCGACACATGTTGAAAATTGCAAAATTTTACTAACTCAAGGGCAATAACTCTGAAAATACTAAAAATATCCAGACGAAAATACCCAGGTGCACAACAACACATGCTGATCAACATTCCTGTAAAGTTTCATGACTCTAGGTCAAATACTTTTTGAGTTACATGCGACACAAGTTGAAAATTGCAAAATTTTACTAAGTCAAGGGCAATAACTCTGAAAATACTAAGAATATCCAGACGAAAATACCCAGGTGCACAACAACACATGCTGATCAACATTCCTGTAAAGTTTCATGACTCTAGGTCAAATACTTTTGAGTTACGTGTGACACAAGTTGAAAATTGCAAAATTTTACTAAGTCAAGGGCAATAACTCAGAAAATAATAACCAAACGAAAATACCCAGGTGCACAACTACACATGCTGATCAATATTCCTGTAAAGTTACATGACTCTAGGTCAAATACTTTTTGAGTTACATGCGACACAAGTTGAAAATTGCAAAATTTGACTAAGTCAAGGGCAATAACTCTGAAAATACTTAAAATATCCAGACGAAAATACCCAGGTGCACAACTACACATGCTGATCAACATTCCTGTAAAGTTTCATGACTCTAGGTCAAATACTTTTTGAGTTACATGCGACACAAGTTGAAAATTGCAAAATTTTACTAAATCAAGGGCAATAACTCTGAAAATACTAAAAATATCCAGACGAAAATACCCAGGTGCACAACAACACATGCTGATCAACATTCCTGTAAAGTTTAATGACTCTAGGTCAAATACTTTTTGAGTTACATGCGACACAAGTTGAAAATTGCAAAATTTTACTAAGTCAAGGGCAATAACTCTGGAAATACTTAAAATATCCAGATGAAAATACCCAGGTGCACAATTACACATGCTGATCAACATTCCTGTAAAGTTTCATGACTCTAGGTCAAATACTTTTTGAGTTACATGCGACACAAAAGTGAACGGACGGATGGAAGGACGGACATACCAAAATTTGATGTTTATGAGGCAAATGAGCCCATAAACACCACCTGCGGACGGACGGACGGACAAGGGTAAATCTAAATGCCCGCCACTAACGTGGGGGCACAAAAATTGATAATCTGCCACGAATATAAAATACATTTCAGGCTCCACTTTGCAAAATACCAAACTTTAAATCTACCTGAAATTTCGAAATCATTTGACTTAGGTATTGCAATCAATAATCAAAAGTATAATCAATTGATAATCAAAAGCAAGTCTTTACTATATACATAAAGGAAAAACAAGAGGGCCATGATGGCCCTGAGGTCGCTCACCTGTATAAAGGCACCTGGAGCGGGGCCAGTTTCAACCCCAGGGCTTTTATTTGAACAAACTTGGAAGACACCCATTAGAAGATGTATCACAATGTTAAGTTTTTACTACACACATATAATGAAAAACAATGATCTACTCCCCCCCCCCCCCATCAGGGCCAATTTTAATCCAGGGGCTTTTATTTGAACAAACTTGGTAGACACCAATAAGAAGAT